CAATTGATTTGTAAAGCACAATTGGGCATGTTTGCATAGCACAGGACTCCTTGGACAAGTTTTCGCTTTTATTTGAGGATTCAATTTTTATTTTTAATTATAATTTAAGCTACCTTTGACTGATACTTAATGTAGCTTTCTGGAAATTTAGTTATATAATTTAACAGCAAAGTGCAACATTGCATCTTTTTATAAATCATTGCTGCTTGAAAATTCGGCCGAAAAAGTACCGACATTTTGGCCTGTCTAGGCCTAGTATTAGTAGGTGGATATATATTACCGCGAAGTGGGGCGGGCGGTACATGCCTTATAATTTACTACGTGGATAGCGAGATTTTTCGATCGCCATGCAAAGTTAAAATAAAATCCCAAATCCTCCTCCTTTTTGGAATTTAAGGAAATTAAAATACATTTTTGTTTCTTTGTTGGATCGATTGCAGCAACTCCAAACCCAACATAACGGTATTTCACATTATAATTATAGCATTCACATTATTTAGCATTAATCATCTATAATAACTGCTAACTTCCTATCTACCCTATCGCGTTGTTTTGTTTAGGTGACAACATGGCCGGTATAAGTCACGTGATTGAAACCGAGTTGGCCAAACTCTCTCTATCTACGGCTCTGCGTGAAGCCTGTCGACTATCTGGCAACTCTGAACGTGATGTTAGCGAGGCGGGCTGAGGATTAGTTTGTGCATAGGCTTCTGTTGCTGCTACGGCTGGGTGACGGACGATCGGGGGCCCAAGCGACATCGAATCCATTTCCAGACAATTGGTCCTAAAGTATGGACGATCGTGTCGGTCTAGGCACCTCCAAGCCTGCGCTAGGTCTGACCAGGAGGCCTCTGCAGTAATCTGAGGCCTAGGCAAGGCATAGTCCTAGACTAGTGCTTCCAGCAACCCGCAGCAGCAGTCTGTCTAGCAGTGGCGCCAGCGGGGCCAGGGGGACAATGGGGGGCTTAAGCCCCACCCCATCGGACAAGTCAAGGACCCCCGGCCGAGCTCGTCGGGCAGTCGGACCAAAACCAAAATTTAATATAGGCCTACACCAAGCCAAACTATGTCTTTCACACTGCTAAGTGCCATTTTCGGCCATCCGTCCGGAGCTCCCTATTTTTTCGGAAAATCTCATCTCCTAAATCCTCCCCCTCTTCATACAAGCTCAAGCCCCCTGTTGGACAGCATATCCCCCGTTCCCCCAGAAAATGTATCTCAGGGCAGCCAATGTCTGGGCCTGTAGGCCTATTCAGAATGTGCCCTAGGTTACTAAAGAGGCCTAATTGTTATTTAATACATTATACAATACAAATTGCAATACAGCCATTGGAAAGTTAATATTTAATGGAATTAAATATTTAACATTCTGTTCCCCTTCTCTTTTTGTGTAATATAGCCGGCAATGTTGTGAAACATTAAAAAGTAATAAATCTTAACTTCAGCAGTTATGTTTTAATGGAAGTTATAATTTTAATTTATTAGGCCCATTTTTCTCTTCCAGTAAGATAATTTGTTCATAGGATTAGGTTGGAAAATCCACAGACTAAGTACAGTATTGTAGTACTAGTAGTATAGGCCATTGAATTGTTTTTATTTCTTTCTGTGATTACGGCAATTACTACCGCTAAAATATAGGCTTACGTATTATTTCACTCTGTGTAGACC